GAGATGTTGGCGAATTTTAATGAAGAGAGTTTTTATGTGACGAGCAAATGAAAGGTTAGATGTCCGAGTAGTACAAATATGCCCGAAAGAGGACTCCTCATTTGGCAGATTGTCTAAGATTTTAGGACTGGGGGAATGTAGCAGTCGAAAAAGGCACTATACTGACTTCTGTTTATCCAGTAGAAGACCATTGGCTAACAAGCATACTGAGAAATAATACAGGCAAGGTGGACTAATAACAAATAAAGCCAGAAAATACTCTATCTGTAGTCCACTTGGAGAAGTCATTCAATTATTAGTGAACCATAACACCTGTCCACATAGATACATTTCGAAAGTGGTCTTTTAGAAGTTTTCTTAACTTATAAGAGAAGAAAGTTATCTGCGTTCAGATTAAGTGAGATCCCTGGACGCAGTCAACTGAGGACATTGAAAATCCATAAAAAATCCGCTCTGCCTAGTCCCCTAATAAAATTATATGGATTTACGCAGAAGAATTTGCTGCCCGGTGTCTGACCAAACCAATGATTTGAGAGCTGCATTACAGGAACGTCAGTTGGCAAACCATTGAAGAATGGTAATCGACACCACATTATGTGCAGGTAGGTCAAAGGCGACGGTCGTACTCCATGTTCTCATGTTCAGCAGTATACGGTTATCGCATTCACGTTAACTAGTTGCGCAATAGAAGACAGATGAAGTAGTTGCCGATAGGAGTGAATATGAATTGAGGCAGAGGTTCGTTCCCATGTATGTGCATAGATTTAGAAGGAGTAGTTTCGACCAACAGAATCGTAGTTTTAGTGGTCCGACTTTTACAACTCTTGCGGGAGTCCATTGTAAGAGATAATACCGTCAACGAAATCAAGGAACATTTGCAAGAGGAAGGGAAAAATTATCCATCAACGAAATCAGGCAACATTTACAGGGGAAGGAGCCAATTAACTGTCAACAAAAGCAAGCAAAATTTATAGGCGGAAAGTGTCAATTAACCGCCATAGGTGCGGGGAGGCCCGGACTGGACCACCAGTGCTGTCGTTATTGAGATACCTACGCAGTGCAACATAAGCGGGCGCCAGCTCGATGCGTTGGTTAACTGAGTTGTCATCCGACGCCGAGGCCTTAATCAGTTATCAGCCCGTCTTGCTGCTTGCGTAGACAATTATAGTTGCAGCTGCGATATTGAACTCATGACCCGTCTTGTAGGTGTGGGCGGCCACTTGCGATAACGCATCACTCCGTCTAACAAGCAACTTGTGTTCCTGTATGCGCTGACCCAGCGGATCCAGCGAACCCAGGAGTGAATATGTTAATTCCACGAAGCAGTTCAGGAAAAGAAGATGTGACCACTGGAACAAGAGTTCCATTTTCCTGAAGTTTCGGATTTCATCGACAACCAATAATCATAGGTTATAGTACGGTAGTCTGAATCATGCGCAGGTAGGGGGGGGGAAATGCACAGATTGCACGGTATCTATAGTTCGTAGCGGTCATCCGTATGCGTTATATAATTATCAGCTGATGTAGCCACCGCTTGGGTCCAGATTGGTGCGGCGCTGTCTTGACAATTCGCCTTCGATTCATTAATTGCCGCGATTTACTTTTTCCTGTTGCATGCAGGCTTGCTAATATCGCGACAATTGTGCTCGCGTGAGCCGCGATCTGCTCGACTTATGTCTCTCAGGCCCCTAACGCAATGATTTGGCTTTCCAATATTGCATACTGAGACATTGCCTGAACAAGGAAATCAGTCACATGGGAGAGGCCGAGCCCAGCAACAACAACTAGGACGACAAGCCCACATCCGACACGGACAAGGAAATTGCGGCAAGTAATGAGTCGAACGCGAAGTGCCAAAACACCACTGCACCAATTAAGACCCAAGCGGTGACTACTGGAGTAAATAATTACAATACGCACGCAGATGACCGCTATGAACTCTAAATACCGTGCGATCTGTGCATGTTTCACCCCTATCTGCGCATGACTCTGACTATGCTATCATTAGTTAGGATTAAGGATTCCCGACGGAATGCGAAACGTCATGAAAATAAAGCTCTTGTTCCAATGATCGCGTCTCCTTCTTCTGAGCATATTCGCATACCTGATTTTGTACTGCAGTCAAATTACTCGGGGGTCGCAACCCCTGTGATTGGACATGTCTGGCTGATGACAGCATAAGTACGTCCCGTGAACTGAAGGGTGAATATTTCCCCACGAGTCCGCTACCACAGTTTTGTGGCAGCGTGCTGCAGTCGATTAAACGGATCTCCTCCGGCACAACTTTCGCTCGCGCGTACACCGCTGTAAGACAGAGCCACCCTTGTGGCGTCAACTAAGGTCGACTCACGGATGTGCCTCGCCACAAAGACGTGACCATGTCAACCCCCCTCCTGGTTCAGACGTCGGGAGAACCAACCAC